TATATATTTATATCAGTGATAATGTTAATAACGTATCAAAAACAATTCAAATATTGCAATCAGATCATATATATATATATGTTCAAATAAACATAAGCAGCATTTAATACAGATCAGTAGTAGAAAGTAAATGAAATAAATGAATAGAACTTATTAATTATACAAAATAAATAAGAATGGTATTGTGTTACTGTGTTTTAGCTCAAACCTTTGTCTTTTGCAGTGAACTTAAAACCTGTTTTTCTGTTGTTGTTTTTTATATATTCTCCACATCTTTTACTTGAAGTGCTTCTTAATCCTTGCAGACTTGCGAGGGCGCGTTGTGTGTGGACGACATGAAAATAAAACAGAGGGGCTTTAAAGAGAGTTTGTACAGTGGCTTCATCTGCCTTCTCTAATGGTTTTGTTTCCATAGTAACCGCTGTCTGTCTCTGCTGTATCTGAGGATGTTCCATCTGAAGAAAGACCACGCTGTCAAGTACTCACGGTCGCTCATGGAGTACTTCAAGGTAAAACCCACACACACTCACACACATTTGGACGTATTTCCTCCCCTCTCTCATTCTCTCCCTGTGTGGATAAAAAAGCCAATTACAATCCCTCAAATGCATTTCATATTCATTTTCATGGTGCCTGTGCATTAATTTTGCATGGCGTTATTAGAATCTGCTCTTTCTCTTTGATATTAATGTATTAATTAGCTCCATCAATCACCACAGTGGATTGTTAGGGTTTAATGTGCTTGTTTTGATTAATTATGTTTAGTGGAATTAATTACTGAGGATGTCATTATCGCAGCGCCGCATTTGCATTGATGGGATTGGATTCCCGGGAAGGCCCTGACTGGGGGTTTAGTGCTGTGTGTGTGTGTGTGTGTGTGTGTGTGTGTGTGTGTGTGTGTGTGTGTGTGTGTGTGTGTGTGTGTATGTGTGTAAGCAGTCAGAGCAGTTCATTTTAAAAGCCTAACGGCACAAAATCAGTGGTGTATTACTTCTATCCACATGACACACGTTAGTGTGGATTTTAAGTTCTCGTCACTGATTATGATTAACATCACACGTTTATTGTTCAGGAGTGACACACTGAACGGGGGAAATTGGTGCCTCTGTGGGATTCTGCTCGTGTTATTTTGACGTTAATATTTTAGACTTTTAGTTGGAGCTTTGGTCTACAGTGATTTGTTTTATGACTGATTGAATACAGGGTTAAAGGGTACTAATGGGAAAGATTGGCAATCGATCGTAATGACTATTGATCAACTGACGTTAGGAAAACAAATGCTATTTAAAGAATGTTATAATGTAATTGCGTCTCTCCTTTTCAACATAAAATAAAGGCACTTTCTTGCCCTTAAAAAACATATTGAATAAAAAATAAATGAATAAAGTTAATTCAGTTGAGCTTTTGTTCTATAGTCAGACAGATTTTCCTCACTGAATAATATTTACTGAAATCCTACATTTTTACTTGATTATGATTATTATTGTATTGTAGATGCAGTTTCTCTGAAACATTCTAGTAGTCATAACAACTTATAGCTGCTATGGAATGGGCTGAAACCATTCCGAATGGGGGGGTAACATGTAGATTATTGAGCTTTACAGGCGCTGCTAGGCAGATTCTGTTTCTTTGAGACAGTCTAGTTGTTTTACCATTTCCAGTTGTTTAGCTCTTCAGGCTCTCATTTTCTTTTAGTTTTTCTTTTCCATTTACATTCAGGCAGACAGTGTGATCTATAAAAACATGTTTTAAAAAATGTGTCTTTCTGTGACCCAGAATTCAGCCAAGTCTTCTCACCAAGCACCCTCTCCCTGGAGGACTAATGGCAAGTAAGTATACACACACACACACACACTCACAGAGACACATACACACACAGTCCCCCCCTCCCCCCTTTCATTCACACAGATAATTGAGAATTTATAATTCACCAGAGCTCTGATGCTAAATAACATGGCGCCTCCTGACAGTCACTCGCTCAAGCCAACCCCTGAGGAAGCAAACAGAGGGATTGATTTGTTGGAGTTGTGAGGAAGAGGAGGCTGGAGGGGCCGCTGAGTGCCGGGCGAGGAGGAGGAGGGTGATAGATGGAGGAGGAGAGGGGTGGAGGAGCAGTGGATGTGAAGCTGATGAGTTTAGACAGCTCTGATGCTGCACAACAGCAGGACTGAGCTCACTGTGTGTGTGTGTGTGTGTGTGTGTGTGTCTGTGTGTGTGTGTGTGTGGTGTGTGCGTGCGTGCGTGCGTGCGTGCGTGCGTGCGTGCGTGCGTGCGTGCGTGCGTGCGTGCGTGTGTGGCACAAGTCGTTGGGTCAGCGAGGGTCAAGGCCACATCACAGACTCTCCATCAAGGCCACAGGAGCCACACAGGCAGCTGAGGGAGCCTAAAGGAGGAGATCAGAACACATCCTCTCACATGCAACACTTTTGATAGCCTTAGTGGATACAATTATTACCAACTTCTTGTATTTAATATAGTTCCCCACAAGGTCAAGACAAAAGACACTTTAAAAATGTGGCAACTTTCCAACATAATTAATGTGCAGCAAATAGGGTTGTACAATTACTGCTTGCCTATATGTTCATACAAAAAAGATTAGTGATCACATGTACATCTAACCACAGGGGATGGCTGGCAAAAGCTATTTTTACACTTAATAAAAAAACAAAATGAACAGACTAGGACCTTTTTATTCTATACTTCAATGTGTGTTCATTGAATGTTAAGATAATTAAACTCAGTTTGACCAGGCACTGGTTATCTGTTCTACACATTGGACGTTTAAAGCTAAAGACAACCAGAACTTTGTTTACAACATGTCTGTATTTTGTTTAACAGTAAGCTAACTAATGACGAGAACTACTCTTATAACGAAAATTCAACCCTTTATAAACATAACAATCTCTATCTTAATGTGGGGGCTCAGGCAACATTTAACTTTGATAAATGCTGAACTTTTGGAGAAATGTTGAACTGGTCCCTGTCACTTTTTACCCAGTCATCAAATCACGATAGAGATGCAGCAGGTCAAAGAACATTGGTGATTGGTCAGCTCGCCCACTCTGTTCTGATGAGTCCACCACCGTTACAGCGGAACATCAGTGATTATGTGTTACAATGGCGTTTGTTTGCAACCAGAAAATGACACCAGTAATGACAAACAGATAAGAATGCTGCGTGGGGTCTGGGTGCCGTGTTGGCGGAACGTTGCGGGGCTCGCTGCTGTGGACAGTGTGAGCTGTATTACTGGTGTCGTTTCCTGGTTGCTGCGTTGGGTCTGCGAAACATCCCAGAACTCAGCCTGAGCACACACATACACTCACAGCCAGGCTGTTCGCCACACAGTGTGGCGAACAGCCTGGCTGTGAGTGTATGTGTGTGCTCAGGCTGAGTTCTGGGATGTTTCGCAGACCCAACGCAGCAACCAGGAAACGACACCAGTANCTTCTCCTTCTTCCCTCTTGAATTTTAATGTGCGGCTATATTCAATGAATTAATCATGCATGGTGAAGTGGGCTAATAGTTGCTGTGATGTAGAAATAAGAGTCCATTAGTGCTAATAAGAGGACTGGCCTGGCTCTTATAATGTAATACATCAAGGCCACTCAGAGGCTTGTTTATGAAAGAATCTTGTTGAGTGCGAAATCGAAGAGATTTCCTTCATTAAGACAATTCTGTGTTATACCAAGAGTGCTGTTGGGGTGTTCGTGTTAACTCTGGATAATTATTTCTGCTTTCTCTCGTTAACAAATACATCTAAAAGCAATGTTTTGTGTCGTCTTCTTGTGAATTTGAAAACATGAGTTGCTTGAAAAACCTTATTATGAGAGTGAATATATATAAGATACACATATTAATATAATATTGCATCTTAATGGAAATAAACAGGGACAAGACAATAGGGTATCAGTTTTTTTAATTAATAAATTATATCACAATGACATTTCCAGTTTATAGCCGATGTTTAGACATTTTTTTTGCATTAAAAATTTGATTTAGATTGTAAATAAGGTATTATCATAATACATATGTCGTCATTTGACTACATTTCCAAAGCAGAAACGTAAGGTTAAACATTTCTTTTGTTGACATTATAAACAGATATCTATTTGTATTACTCTATAATTTAAAAAATACTGTCAAAAGCCTTACAAAATTATCTATTTTCGCCATGTTTTTATGAATTAAATTTGATATAAATCAATGAAACTGTAGAGTTTGTTGTAGGTTAGTGCAACAGAAGAGGAGATTTCTGGCTCAGAGAATGAGAACAAATACTTTAAAGATATGTTCATAATTCCATACATTTTACAAGTAACTGCAGATTAATAGGTTAAATATTGAATCTAAAAGATATCCTCAGAAAACGTGGGAAAGCGTAACATCCTTTTTTTCTGAAATGTTTCTACATCTAGCTTTTCTGTGAATTTAGGGAATATCTACATTCACAAACAGAAAACCTGTTCTGTATTCTTTCCATTAAAAGAGAACCTGATTCAAGAAAAAATAACTAAAACTTGACACAACATCAATAAAACCACGAGAGCAGCAGGACCACTGGTTCAAACAGATTTTAATCCATATTTTAGAGACATTAAATATTTAAAAACAATGGAACTGCATCACAACTTCTGATCATAACATAGAACAACTTCATTATAAAAAGAACCATATAAAAGGCCAAAAGATAGCACTGAATAAACCAAAGAAAACAGCTGAAGTTGTGCAAAACATTTAAAATACAATGTGATTCATGTTAGATGGATGTGTTCTCAGATGCTGTTCTGTAGAAACATGAACAACGTTGCACAGTTTGACTTTAAACACACACATTTAAAAATTGGGATGCCCAACACTTGCCATGTGGCATTTTAAAATAAAAAAAATGCCACATACATTTTGATTCTGTTGTATACTTTCAATAAGCAAAGTACATTAGTTTAGGTTTATGATTAAGGCTTCCATTTGTTTGGAGAAATACATGCCCCAACCTCTGAGGGTGGGGAAGTGCTTGGTTTAGAAACAGCTACATTTTGCACATTTGAAGGTTAGTCTGAATAAAACTCTAAAGAGATGTTGAGTTCACTGACATGGGCCTGGGCCGTTCTGAATACCATCTAAGCAATCCTTAGCAGAAGTAAACATGGCTGCAACTTGGATATTCTGAGAATTAGAGAAGTTTGATACCACGGTCATGACTGGACGCTTAATATGAAGCTACGTAACCCCTTTGTAAGGCATGGTAATACAACACCACCTTTAAGCACATTTACCACCATGTCGACGCAGTTTAGGCTTTACATGTCATCTAATAGTTGCAGTTTTAAACGTGGTAAAGTTGGGAATTCAACAGAAACAAAACTACTTGGTTAGATGTTTGATTGATTTTTATGTTGCTGTCTAATATTACAGCGACATAAAAATTCTATGCAAAACGCAAAATTACTTACTTGTAGTTTTATTCATATCATACACCAATGGGTGATACCTGGCTGAGATGGAGCTAGCAGCTGGTTAGCTTAGCTTACCCTAAAGAGTGGAAGCAGAGGACATGTTCTGTAATTTACTGAGAGTTAGCGTCTTTGACTTCTCAAATGTAGTCTTATTTAGTCAATTAATTAAATAAACTAGATATAAGGCGTTGATTAGTTCGCTTTAGAGGTGCTACACATATTTATTTAACTTCCGACATAGCGGTTTTCCTGTTTCCAGTCTTTATGCTAAGCTAATCGCTTCCTGGTTTTGGGTCTGCACATAACACATAGACATGATAGTGGTATCGATTTTCTTTCTCAACTATCTGAAATAATATGTAAAAGAATACTTTTTTTCTAATTTAAGAATCCTCCATGACATTGACGTTGATTTAACTTAAACTCAAACGGGCCTAAACATGATTAGCATGTTAGCCTATTGTCGAATTATTGTCTTCCTCCTGTGACCCCAACATATGATTTGTTTTTGGATAAATACAGAGATTTATATTTTAAATACTTGAGTGTTGCATGACTATAACGTATCAAATGGAAAAATTAAACAATAAAAAAGCAGCTCTCTGGTAGATTACAGGAGTTTGAGAAGAAAAACAATCCTTATCCTTATTAATACTGCGAGTTCAGTTACTGTATGGAGCAGTTTCTAAGCAATCAGAGTGTATCTGTGATTTTCTGAAATGCAAACACATATTAGAGACACTCATCACTACTGGAGAGATTATCAATGTTTCATCAGCTTGTACCCATCTGTTGTCAAAAAATAAATCATTCTGTTCAGCGCTCTATTGTAATCACACCAACAGTGACGTTGATTCTGTCACTGCTGCTTCTGATAAACAACTTGACAACTGTGACAATATAACAGGAGCTAATGAGATATTAAATAAGATGTCAGCAGAATAAAAGGCCATGCTGAGTGTCTCAGATTATAGCGACATACTGACATTGCATAAAGTCCACAATTATCATTTGACATGTAGCATAGTGGGATGAAACCCATGATGTCATCAATGCAATGTTTTTGACATTTTACAGCATATTATTGTATAAGTATATTGTATCGTTTTATTCAAATAAGGACCATTGTGTGAGATGAACAAGAACCATATAGCAACACCACTGTTTCACCATAAAATAAAACAACATCGAACATCATTGAATTGGACTGAGCAACACTGTGGATCAGTGACTGAGGTCAGGCTCTTTGTGGGGTTTATTGGTTGGCTGTTGTAGAAGTTCATTGGCTTATTGGGACACTGCTCATTTGGCTTCATGACCTCAAATCATTTTACAAAAGGCATTTAGTTAAACAACAGGGAACGGGGTTTCAGGCTTTCA